TTGCTTTATGTATCCCTTAGCCCACATTGCAGAAGTAAAAAAAAAATCCTATTGGTAAACAGTGCAGAATAATACAGTCTGGTTTTGTTTTATTTATTTTGTACACAGGATGAAATTTTTACATCTTTAGGTCCTCCAAAAAAATCGAAATTCCAGGCACAAGGATTGAATTTCATGCTGTGAAGTGACACTGATGAAACTTGTTTTTATGTAATGGACAAAATTCACTGTTGCAGTAAGGTGAAAAATTAAATCATTCAGGCTTTTGCCTGTTTGATTACCAAGTTGCAAAAATTATAGTCATGCCATAAGCTGTGGTTTTGTGATCTTTCTAAATCACGAGATATTCTGTGTTTGTGGGAGTTGTGCAGTGGAACCTATACATTAATACACCTATATTAATAGCATTTAATGTTTTTCTGAAGTCAAAGCGTGACTGGTAAAGCTGGCTTTATGCTTGAGTGAGAGCATTTCACTTTCTTTTCACTGGAGGAATTTTCAGCCTGGCAGCAATAGTATTATAATAACTGCCAGCTGCTCACTTGGCACAAGAGTGCCTAGAACCAAGAGGAAGAGCCCAGTGCATTATGCATATAATTTACTTTTCTCTAAGATGAAGGTTTAGCCCTCATAAATATTTTGATCTGGTCTTTGATGGCTTTTGTACACACCAGTCTGAAAATATGCATGTGGAGCATAACTTGTAGATTTTATTTTGGAGTACATTAGAGTAATTCCCACCAGTAGGGAAGAGTTAGGAAGAGAAATTATTGTGGGAGATTCTTTTGTGAGTGGGTGGTCAAGAATGAAGGAAAACCTTTAAGTTTAAGCAGATGGACCTCCCTTATTTTATACCATGTATTGGATATGCAAGATTATTATCTCCCTAAATATTGGATCGTTTTGAATTAGTCTTCACATCAAAAGAATAAGATTCAAGACATTATTTGTAAGGTAGAAACTCTGGAATGGAAATGAGACCTTTTTATATCCTCAACTCTGTGCTTGCCCACCACTGTCAGGACAATGACACAACAGAAATTAGGTCTGGAAGAGTAAACAGAAGCAATCATTGTCCCTTTCTCTACGTATAAACCCACACAGCTGCAAGCCATAGTGCATTTCCTACTCACAATGCCACTTTTCTCCTGGATGTTTAAAATTGGCTTAAAAAACTATAGTATACCAAAGGAGAAACCAGGGGTGACTACAATCCTTTTAACATCTTTATTTCGAAATAATTTATGGTATCTGGAAACAGACCATACAGTGCTAGGAAGGCATGGTGATCTCTGGTGGTCTCATTTTGAGAGAGAAGTTTTGCTCTGATCTTGTAGTGGGCTTGACCATAAGTTTCTCATGAACAGGTGTTGAGACACCCAAGAAAGGTAGTACAAGTAGGTGCTATCTGCATCCCCAGGCTGCAAGCTTCTTGCATCTCCACATTTAATTTCTTACAGTGGACAGTCTCCAGAGAAATTACAGATAACTGGAATTCAGGCCATTTCACCTGCATGAGGGAAGGAGAAAATTCTCCTTGTTGTGAGGACATCCTGGGGCATGCATGGGAGTATTACATGGGAAATTCTGAGCTCTAAAGGAGTATGTGATTTGAAGCATGTGGCTTAATTTGCTTTATGGTTCTTTACTTAAAATACATAGTAATGCCTTCTTTCTTGGCAGGATTCCTGTGTCTTAGATTCTTTATAGACTGAGCTGTCTTATTCAAAGTCTCATGCTGCAGTCAGCTAATGAACCTCTGATCTCAGTTGCTGGTATAATGTAAGCAAATGCTGCTTTGCTGTAACAAAGTATAGTAAATATACTATAATGCTGCTTTAGTGATACTTTTTTATGAGATCTGTGCCAAGCCTGATGTATTTCAAATTAATGTGGAAGCAATATTCTGATTGAAAGCAACTGCAAAAACCAACTTGCTATGTAAATTCCACACTTTCTGCTGGGAGTTCCCACATCTAGCAGTTGCAGTTGACTCTAAATCCTGTTTGAGAGATGGACAAGATGGTAAAGGAATAAAAAAAAAATGGAAGAAAGATAGATAATACAACTTAGAAGTTTCCCATGCAGAATCTCAGTAGTAATTGTAAGGAAAATGTGACTGACTCCCTCCTCTTTCTTCCCTGTGTTTTTTTTTGTTGTAGTACTGGGACAATGGTATATCCATGTTTGTGCCTTCTTCCTGCCACATATGCACAACACCTGTGGTTCATGACAATCTGGGAGGAGGTGGTTCTTTCTCTTTCCTTTATGCTTTTCGTACTACTTATTCTCCCCCTCCCCTTCCTTCTGAAGGTACAGGGCAATGAAAGAAGGAATTTAACCAGATTTATTCTTTTTCTTTCTTGTACAGCTGTATGTGTCGTGGGATATTACAATTGGGTCTGTTTCTACTGCCCTTTGACTAAAGTTCCATCATATTTTTTGGTTCCCAGGCTTCTCTGACAGAAGGATAATAACATGCATATGATCTGTTTCTGCTTCAGCTACTTACAGATTGTGAGTGGCAGTGGGGCTTACCAGCTGCAGTTTGTTTTTTGGAGTTACTGCCTCAGTTGCTTTGAGGAATAGAAAAAGAAATGGCTTCTCTACAGGTTAAGGATGGGAGGAGGGCTTCTTTCTGCAGTGGCAGCAGACAGTGAAACACTCTTTTTCCATGCACGTTCTTTTAATTTTCAAGGAAAAGCTTTCAGTGCCCTGTTCAAAATAAATGTAGTTACAGAAAATACCATCACCAAATTTATCCTGACTTGTCTCAGCAGAAGTAGCAAAATTGAGTGGAATTTTGATTCTATGAAGTAGTCAGTTCGGATGACAGTATAACAATACCAGGGAGTCCCCAAAGTATGTGCTTCTCTGGAACCGTGTTGTCCTATTGATTTGAAGTTCACTAAATGATCACTGGCCAAGCTTCCTCATCAAAGCCCAAACCGATACAAACAATATTTGGTAAACTTAGATCTAAATGGCAGTTGAAATTTAAGAGTGAGCTGCTTTTGTTTGTATGTTTACTTAGGTTTTATGTCTTCCGCATCTATGGGGCTGCACTGTTCTAAGATGAGCCCTACTGGAAGAGGCAGAGTTGTAAGTGTTGCACACTGATGCCTCCCAATGACCAATATAAAGCAGCACACTAAATATTTGTTAAAATATTTGTACAAAATACTTAAAAAAACTCTTTACCTCCCCCACTCATAATACCATCACTAAATCACCTGTTAAAGTAACTGTTAAACATATCACATACCAGCCATCAAGTGTCTTTGTGTTTAATTCCCATTTAATGTTGGGCTCTGATTGCATATTACCAAGCAAAGGGAGGACAGCTGTATCACTTTAAAATGCATGTTGATTCTGCTTTTGTATTTTTAACACAATAGTTAGAATTCCATAGAAGCTAAAATAAAAATTAATATACTCCTAATCTTTAAAAAGTAATATTAATTTAAAAAATGAAGTGGAAATATCAATATAAGTAAAATTTTATCTACTGTCTTTTGGTGTCAAATAAAATATTTTGCAGTCTAAAGAGCTGGTTGTATTATTTAAAGAATGTCTTCTCATTTTGAGTATTTTCACGCTTTAAAAATCAGCATTCTCTGCATGTTCCTATCTCTTTCTTGTCTTTTTCCTGTCATAACTGTATTTAAATAAAACTACCATAAACCAAGAAGTCATTTGTGAACAGTGAATTAAAAAAAAAATCTATTTTAAGGAACAACCTAAAAACCCAGGAAATTGACATCATCTTTCAGAGACAGTGCTTGGTTCAAGGTCACACCATTGATCTTTCACTCAAACTATATAATTTAAAATGGTGTTTTTAGCACAGAATTTGTCTGCTAGTATCAGTCCTTTTCTGTATGTTCATATTGATAGAACATAATGAGATTACATATATTCTGATGAATAATGGCTGCCTTGTAAACTTGCCACCTACCTACAGCGACTCTTATGAATATTTGATGATAATAAGTAGTAGGAACTTCGCTGTGTTGCTTACTTAAAGAACCCAGCAGCACAGGAGTACCTTTTGTTCTGCTTTTTTGCTTGGGGTAAGCAGTTTGATATCTATATTAATATTAAATATTATATGCATCTAGCATATTCTTGTTCTTAATACTACGAGTTCTGTTTAAATCATCATTCTGTTGTTTTAGGAGGAAAAGGTTGAGAGATGGAAGACACAATTTTTAACATTTGAAGTTGTATTTTAAGATGAGGCAGGGTTGGCCGGTTAGTCTTAAACGTCTATGAATTAGCACTTGAGAAAATGGAAAAAATACAGTGAGATATACTCACCATTTTGCCAATGCAGACATAGGTACAAGGTGTCTAAAATTAGTGTCTGTAGGTCAACAGTTTTGTAGATGTCTGTACAATGTCTTTGGTTTATCCATTATCACCTTATAGATCCTATAGGCAGTAGTTTGGGGTCATATATTGCAAATTAGGCAAAATATGTCAGCAACAGGCAGCACCTTTTATTGTCTCTTCATCTGGTTTCTTTTTTTAGATGTGTAATAGAGGGTCTTCCCCTTGTATGCTGTTTCAAGGTATTTTGGTGTGAAGCTGGTATGGAAAACCACAATTCTGATTTAATTGTGTTCAATTGATATTCTTGATTGGGTTTCTCCTGTTTGCACATTTGAAAACTTAGTGCTTTCATTATCCACCTTGCTTTACAGGTTATGTTTGAAACAGTTGCTGTATTTTGTTTCATTAAATACTTTTCCTTCTGAGACTTGCAAGGCCTGCTATGCAGCTATATTTTTCCTTACTCAAGTGGTGAGGACAACAGCAACAGCTCTGACATTGATAGGAAGATGTTTCATTTACTTAAAATAATCTGGCATAATAGTTACTAGAATTTTTTTTCAGTAGCTCTTGCATATTGAGAGTGTAAAATCCATAATTTTATTAATGCTTCTATAGCAGTTTTCTTGAAAAGCAGTGCTTTACAGAATTTGTTTTTCTTTCAGGGAATCAGTTTCCTCCTGTTGCAGCTCAGGATCTTCAGTTTGTTCTGAAGGCTGGATACCTGGAAAAACGTAGAAAAGGTAAGTCTAGCTTTCTTTGTGAAAGCTAGTGCATATTTAATGTCTGGGAAGTCTGTCTATATGTCTGTATTTGATGTTATACACATGAACAACTTCATACAGGAGTGATAAATAAAATGAGAAGAAGCTGAAATGTTGAGTACTATTATGCAAAAGAAGCATAGCACACAATTACTCCTATAGTATTGAAAGAAAATCCTGTTTATTCACTAACTGTGAAAGTCCACTCAGCTGTAATTCAGGACTTTCAGATATTTTTGAAGAAAACATTTGGAATGTATGTAGAAGTACCATATGTTGACTTCATGTTTCAGTGAGCATCAAGATTTATTTTCCTTCAAGAGGGCAAATATTGATCTCAGCTTTGTTTCAGTCAATATTTACCTTGATTCAATAAATCTTATATTGTCACTTTAATACCCACTTAATGCTGCGATAACTCTAGGAAATATTTAGGAAGCTGTTCATTATTTCCTTATATTTAATGTTACACATGACTTCCCTCTTTATGTGATTTAAAATTCTTATTTGTTTTCTTACCACCAATTTTTATTTCTAATTTTCTTCTCAGTGCCATGCATTTCCTTCGTTTCCTTCCCTTAGTGTCTTTTTCTAGGTCCGCCTCCCTCTTACCTAATCCTTGAAAAGAAGTAACACATTTTTGTTCAGTAATGGCATAAACCAACATAACACATGTTCTATTAATTTCAGACCACAGTTTTCTTGGCTTTGAATGGCAGAAGCGTTGGTGTGCTATCAGCAAGACAGTCTTCTATTACTATGGAAGCGACAAAGGTACTTATAACAATCATGAAGCAATGATGTTTTAATGCATAAAAGGATATGAAAGATTTATTTGAATTGGAAACTGTGAATCAAAGGTAATTTTAACAAATGGAATGCAACTTTTAAAAGAAAGTTCTTTTTTTTTAAAAAAGTTTTGGACAATGCTGTGAATTTTTAAAATGTGTAAATATTCGTCAGAACCTGTCAGTGTTTTTTAATGCAGGGAAACTGAGGAAAAAAAGAATAAGTTTCTTTAAAAGCTACTTTGTTTGCTAATAACAGCTGGCTGGTCAGTTTGATAGTGTGCTGGTACTCAACTGTTTTACTAGATAGAAAATATTCTTTCTCTCCAAATAGGCTGTTAATTTGAAAACATCCTCTAGTAATTATACCTTCCGAGTTCCTTAGAGATTGTTCTATCCAGGAAAATATTAATCTAAAAGCTGCACAGTGGAGTTATTCCTTTTTAAATAGTTTGTGCTCTGGAAAAGCTAGAAATTAAGTAATGTATTTAACTGAAGTCAGCAATGGAAAGTGAAGCAAACTTCTGAAGGTGACTTAAATTCAAATGGCCAGTTTGGAAAGAATCTGGCATAAATGTCGTAATATTACTTTGAATTTTTGAAATTGACAGTCAAATAAAACATATTTAAATTCTGTGCCATGTACATTTGATGTTCAAGGGTAAACAAAATGATGCATAATTATATCTGAGTAAATTTTAAAGTAAAATAATGTCTTCCAACACCCCTCACCCCCCCCCCCCCCCCCCCAAAAAAAATCCAGGGCAAACTTTCAATTTAATTTTTTTGTCTTTTTGTTTCATTCCTTGGTATACTGACTCATTTAAGCTTGTCCTCTCTTTAAAACCGTAAGAAATAAAGAGTCAAATTGTCAGTCCAGTATTCATTTTGCTAGTTTCCCATCATATCCTCTTTTCAGTTTTGCTAGCATATCTGCTAAATGTTGCTTTTTCTTCTATACTCTTTTCTTGGGATTTACAGGTTGATCAGGCTTCACAAACATGAAAAATCTTTGTTCAAAAATTTTGACGAGATGTGGCATGATACTGATTTGGATTTGTCAGTACTGATTGATTAGTTCTCTGCAAAATGATCATGTGCTGTTTACTTATATATATATAGTTATACATTGCCTTGTAATTTAAAAATAGCTATTATTTTTTCAGAAGATATTGCTAGTTCATAAAGATTGTTGTTGATTATAAAATCTTTGTATTTTTGCCTGCTTTTTTTAGGAAAAAAAAAAGGCTTGATTTTTTTTTTAACATTCTTTTCCGTATGGCTGTGCTAATGATTACTTATGCTTTCTAGCATGTGGTCTTTGTATTGAGGCAGGCATGTTGCCCAGCTGGTCTTTGTCCTTTTTTTTCTTCTTTTGCAACAACCTGATTATCAAGTCTGTGTTGCAATTTTTAATACCTGTATTGAAAGTTAAGATGCATAGAAATACATTCCCTAGCACTCAGAAAGTTGGTGTCATGTTAGGAATTGACTGTCATATTTTGTGGGATCTCTTTCATTTATGAACCTATAGAGAGATTTTTTTGGCCAATGCATTTAGAGCTTTTGTAAGCTGCAGATTGTTTGGGGAAGGTCCTCCTATCCATAACCTAATGATGTGGGAGGGGCACATGGTCCATTGGAACTGTATTGAATCACAGAATCATTTAGGTTGGAAAAGACCTCTAAGATCATAGAGTCCAACCATTTATGCAGCACTGCTAGGCCCACCACTAAACCCTGTCCTAAGAGCCACATTTACATGTGTAATAAATACCTCCAGGGATGGTGGCTCCACCACTTCCCTGCACAGCCTGTTCCAATACATGACAACTCTTTCAGTGAAAAAAAATTGCCTAATACCCAATCTAAACCTTCCCTGGTGCAACTTGAGGCTATTTCTTCTTGTATTATCACTTGTTACTTGGAAGAGGAGACTCACCCCCACCTCATTACAACCTCCTTTCATGTAGTTGTAGAGAGCATGGCATAGTTGGACTCCAAGCAGTAATTCATGTAATTCATGGAGGAAGCAAACAAATCAGATGCATGAATTTCTGCCCTACCTCCATTGGATTGGTGCTTATAGTGCAGAAAAATTAGTTAATCTTGGTGTAGTGACTTGATCTTGTAATATGGGATGACCAAGTCACTTCTGAACTTGTCTTTGAATTAAAAAAAGGTTTTTCTAGACTGGTCAGAGGTACTGTCTTCAGGCCTGTGATCCTACATAGAAGTGCCTGTTGCAGTGCAGAAGCAACTCACTGTCATTGAGCAGAAACTGGACACCAGCCATGGCAGGCTAGCATGCTGTTAAAAGTGAGCTGTCACCTTAATGGTTGTGAGGGTACATGCTGCAGTTCATCACGCTGTTCAGCTGCAGAGTGTCAGCATGGATGAGGTGTGTGATGAGGCAATCCTGAGCAGCTCTGGCATTTACTCACTGCAACTGCTTTGACTCCCACTGTTGTGGGAGCAGTGGTACCTGCTGTAGCATGCTCTTGTGCTGGGGGCCTCCTTCTTTTACTGTGACCCTTGATGCTGTACCAGATAACTTGGACCATGTAGAAATTCAGAGTGTGTTCATACCCACTGTAGAACAGCACTGACGTGTGTGTTTGGTGGCTTTGTGCAAATTGTGAACCTGGTTTCAAAGTGACGAGGATTCCACACGCACTCACTCCTGCTGCCTGCATCACTTTAGATGGATGATGGGCTGCTAGTGCCTCTGTGCTGGGGGATGTAATGCTGAGAGGCAGCAGGGATTTCTGCATCCATCTTGGCTTGTTTTGAATTGTGTCTGTTTTTAAAACCAGACCATAGGTGAATAAACTGTGAAAGCTATTTTGTGTCTGCAGTGATGTGTCTTTTGTTGACCAAAGTTTGATTTTTTTCATGCTTAAGTATCAGTGGAAATGTAACTGAGTGGTTAATATGAGGGTATAGGATGCCTTTTTATTATTTGCATAGATTTGTTGTTTCCAAAGCAGTTTTAGTTCTTCTAACTAAACTTTTCTCCTTTTTGCATTGGGAAAGCAGGAAGTGTGGAAGTGTATAAAGCTCACAAACATGTAAGGAAGAGTTTCAGAATCATTTACTCGAAGCTGAATGATGAAAAATGAGGCCTAGTCCAGAAGTATATAGTGCAAGATAAAGCCTGTGAAATACAGTAAATGGCTGTGTGTTTGTGTGTGTGCTCACCTAAACAACTCCAAGCATCTCTTTGACAGTTGTGATGCCTGCAGGCTGGTGTATGTCTTGTTTCCCTATTTTCTCTTCAGTTTTCTCCTCCATTTGGTGCAGCATTGGGTAGTGAAACAATGTAGTTTATCCAGCGATACAGATGGGTCTAAGTGAATCACCTGCATTTTTTCTCTTGATCACTGATAGATGGAGTAGATAGATGGAGGAACAATGCTTAAAGGTTTGAGCTAATCACATGTCAGAAATAGGTGTTGTGGGATGCACGTGTGTATTTATGCCTGTGCTGCAGTATCAGTAGCCAGCATGTGGTCCTCAGCATTGCAGAGGGCTGTGTTCAAATGTCAGAGGTAGGTGGGATTTTGAGAAGCTTGCCTGGTGCTCCTTTCCATAGTCTTTCCTTCCATAAATCTTTTATAGTCCTCTCTTTTCTTTTCTTCCATGCAGTTGCACCCTGAATTGAGTACCCTGGCTCCCTATCATTTTTCTATATGATCTCTGGCTGTTCCTGTGTCCTCAGACACCGAGATCGTATGGATAACCTTTCAGACCTCAAAGCGCCTGTGAATAAGGAAAGTTAATTTGTTGCTTTATAAATGATTGAATTAATGGCTTCATTACTTCTTTCTCACTAGGCCACAATGTTATATGCCCTTCTGTCTCAGCAAACTGGAGAGATCAGCTAAATGTTTAGCAAGACAGTAATTGATAACATTATGGTAATTTTTCCTCTGCTAATGGGCACTAAAAATTTATTTTCATTTTTATAACTTGAAAATGGTATCTGCTTGCCCGCCAGTAATATGATATTAAAGAGGGGTATAATTCAGAGGCTTTTAGAAAAGCCCAAGTTTATTTTTTATTTTTCAATTTCTTTAGTTTTAACATGGACATGATAGTTTTGGATTTCTCTGAATAATAAGATAGTGATGACCAGGCCAGTGGTGAACTACTTCTATTTGGGCAGAAAAGGGAATTGTGCATGCTCAACAGGACTTTGTTGTAGCAGGGTGATGGCAATCAAAGGCATCTATCTGATGTGTACTGGGTCTTCTACTGTGAGATTGTTAAATTCAGACCTCAAGACTCACACTTGTTGTTAATAATGTGTTATTTAAAGAATAACTACTGGGTATAAGCAAACAGAATATAAACAATTCAGTGCCCTAAATCACTTCTTCCATTTCTTAATTATTTTACAATTTCAGTTTCTCAGAGGACTAGATTAAAGGAAAAAAAAAGAAGAAAAACAAGTTGATTACATTTCAGATCTGCTGTCTTAAAGGGAAGAACTTCTGTGCATGCATTTGTTGAAAAGCTGGAAAAGGAATTACCATTTTGGAGATATTTATACTGAGCTATTTTTTGATAGCAGACATCCTGCACATGGAAAAGTATGCGAAACTACATTTAGCATGAAGCCATGTAAACTGTAAAATCTTAAAGGCTCCTAATTTCAAGATGAAGAGAGTTATAGATTCTAATAGTATCTATAAATACTTTATCACTCTCTGAAATCTTTGTTTGCCTTTGTTCCTTATGTCTTTCTCTGTAACTTCTTTCCTTTCTACTATCCCAGTCCTCTCTGTTTTTCAGAGTGCACTAATTCTTTTTACATGTGCTAATAATATGAGCACATGGCCTTAGGCCTCAAATTTACAACCCAGTAATTTCAAGATCTCATTGAAGGTTTACCCTTCTTTGTTTTAAATGTTCCCATGGACTTAGTTACGCAAGGTTACTTCAAAACGCTTTTTCTCTGCTTCCCTTGAGACTGTCTTTAGCCAATATAATATTGGCCCTGTTTCTGTTAACATTTAACTCTTTTTAGAACAAATGAAGTTTATATGTGAGAGAAATGTTTAAAGGCTTTCAAATTTTATTCAGATCTGAATTTTCTCTATGTTAAATATAGCCACCATATTTAGTTCATTTAAAATTCTGTGTACTAGCTTTGTTTTTTTTTTCAATACTTAGTGCCTGACTCTCCCCTCTGCTATACTACTTTTTAATGATTTTAAATTCCTGTTGCAAAATGATCTATACAGACCCAGATTTATTTTTCTGTTCTGTGCCTGACATAGGAAGCAGGGGAGAGAGGAGGTTGAACCGATGAGAGCAAAGGACAGCTTATGCTGAAATGAGATTTGGCTTCATTGTGGAACAAGTTATGCTTGTTGACACTCACAGTCCTTTTCATTTTTACAAGACTGATATTACACTTTTTGCATTTCTGTTTTATGTTTTTCTGGGACAACTAAAGGGTTTTCTGTGGTTGAATCGGAATGACAATTTTTTCTTGATAAAATAACACGCAGCAAAAATGTTATTGTGCTTCAGAGAACTGTGTTCCATCAGCATATATCTCCCTAGTTCTTCCTAAATATGTTGTTGTATTCCTGCCTAAGCAAAACTCTGGTTCTGATTTGGGGATTCAAACTGAAAATTAATCATCTGTAATGAAAATGTGCTTCTTGAAGCTACTGTTGACTCCTGCTATAAAAACTAACAGTATCTAATTTTGATTCTCTGAGTGAAATCTTTTAAGTCTTCAAAATGTTTTAATATCAGAAACTGTTTAATTCTCCCTAAAGCACAGTCTCTAGAAAATATTTCTGACAGAAACAATTTAACTGGTGATGTGAAAGTTCACAGGAGTCGCTGTGGCCCTAACTTCACAAAGCATCTTGAAACCAACAGCCCAGGTCTGTCCAAACCCGTTTAGCGGCAAGCCTGTGCCAAGCAGTGAAGTCGAGGCGATTGTTGGCAGGATGGTTCCCCTCCCGCGGGGGAACTCCTGTGTGGGTGTGGGCAGGTCACTCCCTTGTGGGTCCCGTGGAAGCGGTGTCTCCCCATCCACCGTGTGCACAGTCCCGGATGGATACCAATCATGCCACCAGGGTGAAGGAGGACTCCAGGCACCAGCGTAGATCCAACTGGATTTGTTTGGGGGAAGTCCGAGGGCCCAAGGAGGGAGGGAAGCAGGGACACCACTGCAGTCAAAGGGAGCCGGTGCTAGAGCGAGCTCGAGCCCCAAACCTGGGTGGGACCAGGGTTTATAAAGGGGATAAGGTAGGCAGGGTCGGGGTACAAATCAACCAGTGGGGAGAGGGCTCAGAGGAGGGGACAAGGTGGGGTGATCGGGGGTACACCTATGAAAATGTGAGGAGAGGGTGGTCTTGTGACAACGTCCAATGGGGGAGTGAGGAACAGGGAATATTCCAGAAAGGGGGGAGTGAATCACAGATGATTGATGTTCATACAGTAGAATCCTCCCAGGGCGCCTCCGCCCCATCTTCCCTGTCCCCTCCTCCCACAATTGTTGAGTCTGATGATGCCAGGATGGCTCTGCCTTCAAGGCTGCACCTGACTGCTCTGCCTGGCCAAGCAGCTACTGTGGGCATGGTTTGCTCCGTGGTGATCAAGGATGATCCTTTTCAGTTGATGTCCAGTCCTAACTGAAAAGGTGTATTCTGCAAGAGCAAATGGCATTTGTAGACCTCAACCGTTTGTCACCATCAGAGCAGGCAGCTGAGCTATAGCTGACCTGTGTTCTGCCATTTCTGGAGCCATTTCTCAGGACATACTGGGTCTTATCTCTGGCTTGCTGCCACAGGGAGCGTGAATTCATAGAGTCTTTCAATTTTTAACAGGTTCTGAGTCAGGGCTGTGAAGTACCTCATTGTCCTAGAATTTCCTCATTTGCACCACACTGGACTTTATTTGGAGATTACTGCTAAGACAATTGGAAGTAAAAGCAGCAATGCTAAGTCTAGTCTATTGCTATAACGGTCATTGAAAGACTGTAATAGCAAGGGATGGATGTATATAAATATTTGGTGGTGTATACAGGTAATTTTCATTAGCACTGAAATAGTGTGTTCAGAGAGATAAGACAAAAGCCGTATAAACAGAAAAACAATCAAATGGGATATGGATGTCATGCACCATCCCCTTCCAAAGTACAGCATCTTAGTAGTTTAACTGCAATGCTCTTTGAAAGAACGAGTACCAGTGCAAAGATTATTCAAGATTAGCTCTGTAAAAGTGTATTGCCATAAAAGGGATCATCCATGTCATGGAGAAGCAGTCTCAGAAATAAGCCAAGAGAGTAAATTTGAATACTTGCCTCATTTTTATCTTGACAAAATGTTTTTACCTTTTGAACCTGGTATTTGTTTATTCTGCCTGCGTGCTCCTATCTTCTAGGATTTTGATAAACCTCCAGCATGGGAGAGTGAGAAATTAATGTGTTTCACTTCATCTTCTCCCTGAGGTCACAAGGCAGGGAATAATAACAGTTCTAGGCAGAAATGAATTTCATTAAAAGGAACCTAGTTAACCTATTGCAAGTTATTATTTCTAATATCTACCTTGTTGTGATTTCATGAATTTTGCATGTGTGTGCTGTTCGAAATAGAGGTGGAGGATTGAGCAAATAGAAAATACTAGTACATATTATTAGTACTTATTTAAGACAGAATAAAACTTACTGTGGGGGAAGGGACTAGAAGTGAAAATAGAATGGTGCCCCAGATTTTCTCATATGATTGTGTTATTGGGTATTTGCTTGCCCTGGGTGAGAGTTCATAAAAAGGTGGAAGGACAGAGAATATGTGTCTATGTGCACATAAGATTACTAGAAAGAGTATTTGACTGGTGAATGCCCTTATGTCCATGTATGTTCACATTGCTTTGTTAGCCAATTTTTACCCTCTCAGGAGTGGAAACAGATTTTCTTTCCTATTAAATTCCCAGAAATATGACAAAAATTTGTTGAAAACAATAGTTTTCCTATTTTATCTACTGTAGAAATTTTCTCCTTTTGTTGACAAGCATAAGCAATGGATGCTCAATTTGCACCTAAGTTCTATTCAGCAATACTTAAAGTAGTTTTGCTGCTGTGCCTGGTGCTTATTGTTAATTAATGCTTTTTCTCTTCTGTGTAAAAAAAGCCCCACGCTAAATGGCATTTTTTAAAATATGCAACTGCACTTTGTTCTTTGTTTGCCTGTGCAAAATGTGAAATACGATGCCAGTCTTCACTTGAATGCTGCACTGTGATCTGCAGAAATTGCAAAACTTAATTACTTTTACATTTTTGGTTTGTTTTTAATATTTGCCAAAATATGCCAGAGCACATAAAATCTGCTGTAGAATTTGGTTTGAAGGGCTCGAAAGGAGTGCACAGGTGCCGCTTGCACAACATGCAGTGTATTTAAAGTCAGATCTGTTGTAAGTGATACTTTTATAAACCAGAACCTTTGAAAAGTAGAATATTGTCTTTAAAACAACCACATGGCTGTACCTAATAAACTGTGGTAGGGCTCAGTACTTTTATTAGCTAATTAAACATTTGCTGTTTTGAGAGAAAGGCTTTTGGAATGAATACAGATGCACACACCTGAATTTATAACAAAATTAATTCTGTATTTTTGCCATGTTGAAAGGAAGCACATCTGGGAGTGGGTGGGAGAATGTGAAAAGCAGCTTTTCCAATTGCTTAAAAAGAAGCTTGAAGTTTATTTTTTGAGTGAAGTGGTTAGTTTAGGAGGGAGCTCAGCAAGTTCTGAGCTAGACAGGTTTTCCCATTGGTTTACTGAACCTGAAAGAGACACTGATTTATAGGAAACGTGTCTTGCAAGTTCCAGTTCTTGGCTTTCCCTAGATACAAGTGTCATAACACGCACTTCTTACTAAATAAGACCACCATCTGCAAACATCCCCCTGTGGAATTCCTTAGGCATCCTACAGAAAAAATGTACTTTTGGGTACATCTTCCCTTAAAATAAAGCTTTATCTCCAGAAGCATCACTTAATCATTTGGCTAAGAACCTACGTGTTCTTTGTAAAATTCATGAAATAGAAAACAAAATCTGAATAAACGATAACCTGCTGAGCCACTTACATTCACTGTTGTAAATGAAGCTCTAACTTTGTTTTTTATCTCCAACAGACAAACAACAGAAAGGTGAATTTGCCTTAGAGGGCTACACCATCAGAATGAATAATAGCCTTCGGAAGGATGCGAAGAAAGATTGTTGTTTTGAAATCTCTGCTCCAGATAAGCGCATTTATCAGGTTGGACTTTTTTATGTTGACTTGAAATTTAATTGACAAAGCTGTTACAATTCCAGTTACTGAATTAGCATTTCAGTGAAACAACTGTCACTGATATCTTAATGAAAAAAGGAAGCCCTCGCTTGCATATATTGTATATTCATATATTAGGAAAAAAAATCTGATTAAACGTATGTATGTACATGTTCAAATATTATCTTTTTGGTCAAGAGCAAGGAAATCTATCATCTTTATCTATTGGTCATTTCAATATTACCATTTTAATATCTATTGTATAGTGTGTCTGTGTGATTTCTTGGATGAATTAAATAGTAAAAAAAAGTTAAAATATGTATCAGTGTTAAATACATATTGTATTGGTCATGGCTTTTCAAGGAAACCCTACAAAAAGGCACATATCAGCTGTGCAATTCAGAGATCTATCAGCCAGACATCAATATGGAATGTAAGTTTAATAAGTTTTAAATATCTGAGATTGCGGTTGAAAGCCAGTTAATTAAGCTGTCAGGTAGTGTGTTGGAGTCTGACAAGAACATTTTTAAGAAAACTGTACCCAGCAGTCTAAAGAAATTCATGGGTGTCTTCTAATTGTCAAGGGCAAATTTTGTTCATCAGTTCTGGCTTTGACATTGATGAAGAGAAGCAGCTTTTTTCTGCACAGCTGCCAGCTGCTGATCAGAGTTTCAAATCCATCATCCTCTCCTTCAATTACATAAATTTGTCAAAATTAGCTGTACATTATAAGAAGCATCCTTGCAAGAAAAGTACCAGAAGACATGAAAAGAATTGCTAATGGTTTCTTGAGGAAGTGAAGGCAATGTTACATTCCCTCTTTTTTATTGCTAATGAAATTGTAGTTTTGTTTTTGACATTACTGCTAGTAGTTATTAATAAGCATTTAATAGTTTACAGCTGCCACTCCCAAAGAAGCAGAGGAATGGGTACAGCAAGTCAGATTTGTAATTCAAGGTAAGCCAGCCAGTAGAGCAGTTGCCTTTATTGCCAATAATGCTTAGTGACAGTAGTTCTGTCCATTTACTTATCTGTCATGTTAGTACCTGTAGGATTCCCACATATCCAAGTTTTGAGTAGCAAGGCCTAATTTTCAGTTGTATTACAGCTTTTATATGACTTTTCTCTTTCTTCAAGATTTTTGCTTTTCTCCCAGAATACTATTTAGCTTGAAAGCTCTCCCTTATATAAGCTCCTTCATATAAACTCTTTCTTACCCCTTGAACAGTGTAAAAAAAAATAAGCAGAATGTACTGGAAGGAGCAGGTCATAGAAGAATTGTTTTCATTTTGCATAAATTTCTACTTAGGCATTCTTTTCCACTAGATGTTAACTTTTTAAACCACTGTTACATAGATACAGGATCTAATGCTATTCCTGAGGAGGAAGAAGAGGAATATGATGATGTTGGACAAGCAAACAGTGACCTGATAGATGATAGCATTTATGAAGAAGTTAAAGGTATTGTTGAATTCTTTCTAACTCTGTGACTTGTGGTCATTTTGTCTTCTCTACTTCTAGTTTGATAACTCTGAGTGGCTTAAAGGAAGTGAGTAAAGTAGCACGATGAATATGATACTTTCAGATTTCAGATTTTGCTATGATATTAAAAAAAAATGTCTTCAGTTCTGAGTGAGAGAACAGTTTTCTTTAGCAGGGGCGTCAAAATAGCACAGAATGTGTAAAAGAAGTGAACTCAGGGGACCTTCAGCTCATTAACATTTTCTGGTATGCAATTTTTTTAAATTAAAAAATTGAAAAGCCTTACAGCTTTTTCCTGGAACATGCCCATTATTTCTTTTCTTTATTCATTTTGGCATTTGTATTAAGCAGAAGTTCTCTATCATTCCAAATGTTACAAGCTTCTGCCTAATACATGGTATTACAATCCTGCAAGAAAGCAATGTGTTTGTTTGAAAAGACTCTGGAAATGAACTGCAAGGAAAGCAACATGAGTGTTGACACTGTTCTGTTTCATGTTTTCCAGCATGGCTATGATGATACAGAAACTTTATACTGTGGATTTTCCAATGTGGTTGAATGATTATGCCTTTAAATGTCCAACTGTATCTGTCAGGTGGCTAAACAAAAGAAAAAGAGCTTGGCAAAAGTTCTTGATTATAGACATTCAAGTACTAGGAGAAAGGTTGCTGTTCTTTATTAAATTTTAAGAAGCTGAAAAAAAAATCAATTTTTCAGTTATCATTAGTTAACAAGTGATATGACAATTAATAATCACTTTGTATGAAATAGAGTTCTATACCCCTTGCTGTTTGGAGCAGTGCAATTATCAGCAATAATCTGAGAGGAAAAGTTAGTTGTTTCATGTGATGCTGACTAACCTTCTCTATCTATTAGGTAGAATTTCCTGACCACTGGAGAAAAGAACATTTTACACTTTGTTTTGATTTTAAAATTAAGGTCATTTCAGTGAATAAAGGGTGAAAAAAACAAGTGTCTCATGAAAATGAGTATCATAAAATTATAAGATATTAATTTATATATCTTTAGGAGCTGTTTTTTGGGTTGTTCCATATCTTTGAATTGTACCTAGATTACTTCAACACAGAATGCATGTTCTGCTGAAGTGACATGCAGTGTGTCATGCATGCTGAAAAACTCTCTGCAATGAATATAAAAACTACATTACTGGGCTTAATTTTATAGCTACACGATACATCCAAACCTTATTAGAGTGCTTTTTGGATGTTGAGGTTCTTACATTGTATGCTTGCTTTTGCTTTTGTTAAAGAAGCTCTACATATATCCTGGCATAAATTACTCTTTTTTTGAGCTTCAGTTACCTTACCTGTTCATTTGAATGCCAGATAGTAAGTAGATCTGGAGCAGTAACACATAAAATACTGGGAGAAGGGCATTGGTTAATATAGACTTTGAGTTCTTTGCTTCGAGCTCTGTCTTGAGTGAATTGCTGCCTTGGTGTGATTCTGTAGGAATTTAGAGTATTTTCACTTACATCCCATTTTTATGACAGTTTTCTGGGAGCTATTATCTCCTAATGTGGCTAATAAACCTGAAATGTAAAAACATCACAAAGAAGGGGTAGTTCAAAAAATTTAGTTTCAGTTTTTAGTTAATTTATTTCCCTGTGATCTTGGAGTGGGCTTCATTTTCATATTATGAAGTAGAAATTATCTTCCTTTATCTCATGCTTTTTCCATCTCATCTATTTGAATTCTGAACTTCTCAGGAAGGATCATTTTACTTCTTACAGTGGAGCTGTAAAACTAAAAAGTTTTGACTGATGTGTTGACATAATTAAGTAAAAATAAAGCATGAGTTTGCAATAGATTTTAGGTAATTATTTGGTCCTTTTATCTTTCATAAATGTGCTTTAATAATCATATGCTTAAATGGAATTACAGACTTATGACTCTGAGACCTTAGAGCAGTCCTTTTCTTCTTAATTCATATCATATTGAAGCGTGTTAGGTGAAATACTGGTTGACAAACCTCACAGGAGTAGGCCTTATTTGTTTCTTGTGTAGCTGTTCATCTAAACTTGATGGTAAAAGAGTACATTCCAGTTTGGTTCATCTCCTTTAATTAGACCTGATTGGTTACATTTAATTACACTTGGCTGTCCTTCCTATTTTCCCAGGTAAGTGAATTACACTTTCTTCCTTTCATGGTCAAAGGTGGAGCATCATTATCCCTGCTGTTACCTGGCATAATAATACAGAACAAATAAGAAATCTGGAATGCCTGTTAAGAGAACAGAAAAAAATTATTTGTACAGCTGCAAAGCTATGCTAAGCTCTGGAATGCAGAAGGCAAACATGCTAAATCCTTGTGAAGGTGGAGAAGAAATTAATCTCCACATTTTTTTTATCCTCAAAGCATATTCATGTTAGAGGATTCTATTCCTCTGTTTTCACAGATCCACTAGCTTTATAAATATTGAATTTCAGGTGTACAGCTCATTGTACTGTGTTATCATTTATTTGGTTATAATTTGCATTTTCTCAAGTGAGTAAAATTTTGCATTTCTGTGGTTTTCCAGTGTTTTTATGCCAGCATTTCAGAAGAAAATTAAGCCAGTCCAGTTGATAATATTTGGTTTTGTATTTGAATAAAGAGTTTTTGTATTAAAAAAAGCATATTGATATTTTTGCATGGTTTTGAAAATTGGGAAATTTTGAGAACTGTGGCAGTAATCAGCACTGACACTATATTCTCTAGCTATCTCGTTGCTTAGCTATTTTTTTCTCCTGCTTGTGACAGAAGACAGTGTGGATGAATTTTCTGGGCAGAAGGTGGATATGTTCAAACCAGTATCCCGAATGCCAACAGACTATTTAGCCTAAAGCACAGATTTCAGTGGTATACACCATGCATATCAGTCTGCTGGCAGGCTGATAGGTGGGAGGGGTGCAAAGAGATGTAGGAAATTTAATCTTTTGATCTGTTAAGTCACTTTCTTCTTTAATAGCCCATTCAAATTCATATTGACCATGGAAGGATAATTTTCATGGCTCTCAGTATTAGTCAGTGTTTTGCTGTGGTTATTCAGGTAAAGTAAAAAAAACATCAGAACTTTCAAAGAATTCCCAAGTTTTAAAATTCCTTTGGAAGATTCTTCAGGAAAAGAAATCTTTATGCTGTCTTCAGCAAACTAGGCTTTAGTCTTTTTGGTTTTTAATAAAATCATGGAGGAAAACTTGGCTAAGCAAAATGTAAAATTTCATTAATAAAGGACCATTTTTCTTAATTAGCTATTTATTTTCTACCTTAGTCACTATATATAATTTTGCAGTCCACAGCTGAATGTTACAAGCTATAACATAGCTCCTGAAACTGTAATATTAAATAACTCTGTGTTCTGGGTGGAGCTAAATTGATGCATGGAGTTTCTAGCTTAGTGGGATTTTAAACAATGGAGTTGTGCCTGTCATAAAACAGAACATGTACCAGCTTTAAAGTTGTTCCTGTCTGTTACAGCCCTTGAAGACAGAATTTTTTTATTAACTTGAGGTTTCAGTGACATAGTTTTAAGGGCCTTTAGTATTGTCTTCTGTGGTTTCACATCTGTGTGAAGCACATACCCAAAACTGCAATGCCAACTACTGCCTTCCCCCTTAATCCTGTTTTTAAACTCAGCTCAGTTTGTGTGCTGTCTACCACACTCTGGCCCAATAGGAAAAAAAGAGGTGTTAATCTAAGCTAACATCTTAATTTCCAGTTTTGTGTTGGTTTTTTTCTTTTGTTCTCTTTCTCCTCACAAACTTGCATTATAGCCATACTTTCCATGCTATACAGTATAATTTCCATTAAAATTATTCTAAAGATAAGTTTTGATTCTTATTTTGGTGGTCCTTCCTTGCTGCATGGAGGTAAAACTCCCTTACAGAGCCCTTACAGAGCAGATAAGGTTGTAAATCCTGAAGCACTGTAATATGACACATGACTGGCACTGGGGCTCTGTGTCATCTCTTCTTAGCCTGCCCACAACACAGAGAACTTTCAGGTGAGAAAGAGGTGAGGATGGTGAGATTCAGTGCTGTGGTGATCTCCAGCCAATACAACTTGCATCAGTTCTTAGTTTTTGGTAAATTAAACTTGAGGATTGATTCAGTCTCTGATTGAGCACAGGATGATGGGAATGGAAACCTGGTGTTTGTCTTTTGATTCCTGTTATCAGTCTTCTGCCAAACTGTTTGTCAAACCCAGGTTTCTGGGCAATAATTCTGTTTTGCAGCATAGTTGGAAGCTTAGGTAGAGAAACTCTGTAACTAAGGCAAAGCTCAGGGAAAAGTAAGAAATGTCTTAAGTTTCATGCAATGAGAAGTGTGCTGTGCAAAGAAACACTTCAATTTGTTTACTTATTTTAAACAAAGCCTTTTAAATAGTTAAAAAATTACATTGATGTTGCTTCAGAACACTTCTGACATTGAATATGAAGGTAGAGAATGAACATCCTGTTTCTTTTTTATGATTGTCTCTTTAAGCAGCTTTCATGGTTTATTTTTTTCTAACAGTAAACTGCTGCAGTTAGGCAGCATAACAATACCATCTTCTTGCTGGACTGCTACAGTTTTGAATAAGCAACTTCTTTTATGATGTTTACCCTTTTCATGAGCATGAGGGTGGGGCAGGGAAAAGAACATGTTCTCCAATTTACGTCTTCTTGGAAAGAAGTAAGGATTATTTAGTGGAGTTTGAGTGTAAGTTTCATCTGTCAGTCATGAACACTCATGGCATATATTTGTTTTCTCAAGATATAATGTCATATATATTGACTTCTTGACACTAGAAGTGAAGACTTTACAGCACTGTGTTAATGAAAATTCTTTTTCAGGACACTTTTGCTTCTTACAGCATAGTCAGGGTATGTGGGCCAAAGCACAGCGTTTGGTGCCAGGCAGTCCCAGGTGTGCATTACAGCTGTACAATCAGTTCCTAAAACCTGTAGGCTTAAAGAAGAAACTCTTAATTTGCCC